CCTCCCCGATCCACCCAACCCTCCGAAAGTTTAATACTAACCCCTTTCCCTTCCTTTTTAGCAAGACGTTCTCCTCCGCTTCTCTAAAGTTTTTGGATATTATGAATTTTATTACTCACCATTACTCTTATTTCTTCTTCGTATTTTACAACTCTCCACCTAAAATTATGTTCGAGTGCGGACGGGAAAGAAAGAGGAAAGAGAAGAGGTAAACCAATAACCATAACCTCAAGCCGGAAAATATTCAGTCGGCGAAGGCGGAGTCAAAGTATCGGCTGCTGGTCGCAGTTGTCCCCAGCAGAATGTCACTTTGGTCCAAGGCCACGATTTGGTCGGCGTCGGCGTGTACATTGACGGTATGTGTCTGCATTGAAAATCAACCTCGCTCGCAGGTGCATCGGCTGGCCCCTCCTCGCCCACTACTAACTACTGCCTGTACAAGAAGCCATAAACGTGAATGCACCCCCGCCCCCTTTCCCCCCTGTATACAACATAGCACTTCAAATGTGTACCCGCGTCTCGCATGGCACTCACCCACCCCCAGGCGCCCAGCACCTCGGGTATATTTTGGTAAATACTGAGCGCGGCAGTCAGTTGCCGCGGAGAGGCGCGGGAGAGAGCAGTCTGTGTATCGCGCGCTGTCACCCTCTGCGGAGGGTGAAGAGAAACCGCGGTGAAATGCTGACGACCAATTACAACTCGCCCGGCTCCTTTTATCGAACGTGCAAGCTTACGTCGGGAATTTGGAAATTTGAAGACGCGCGAACAACGCTGCAGCGTCAACAGCTGCCGTTCTTTTGAGGTTAGGGCGCGCTTCGTGAGCCTTCCTCATCATCATGTCCGGCAGCAGTCGCAGCACGGCCCGAGACGACGCGAATGTGGGAGAGACGCAGCTCAAGGTAAGTGAAGAGTTTTTCACCGGCGGTGTAACTGCGCCCCCCGCAGCCGCCCCTCCTATCGTAAACAACCCTGCCGTGAGCGCTTCTCTTGGCGCGCTGCTCAGCTGCTGCCCGACGAGCGCCGGGACGCCGCCCGGGACACGGGCGGGGAGATCGAGTCGTTGTCCTGGGCCTTGTTCCCCTTGACGCGGAAGTTGTTGTAGACGATGTAGAAGCAGCACAGGAACACGAACAGCATGACGGCCGCCGCGCCCAGCAGCATGTAGAGCATGGTCCAGAAGTCGCCGTCGGGACCGTCCGCGCCGCCGCCCAGGATCCAGGACCAATCCGCCCCAAAACCCTGCAGATATGTGCTCGTAGGTTAAAGGGGGCTCGACGCCCAACGTGCCTGTTGGTTTTGGCAGTATACAGTTTGTCAAATCTTAACTCACTGAGCTGGGCGCAGGCGTGGTGCGAGGGTGCCTCTCTAGGGTGACGCGGTTCACCGCCTTGGTGCGCTGCGGGGTGGACGTGGTGGCCGCCGTGCTCCGGGTGCCCTGGGACGAAGACGATGACGAGGACGATGATGAGGCTGGGGACCGCTGCGCCGCCCCGCAGTCCTCGTCGACGCCGGGCCGCAGCGCTGGGAAGGAGAAGCGGGTCGACTCCAGCTGCAGGTCCTTGCCGCCGACGAGAAGCCCGGCCTGAGAGAGACAACCCCATATGTAGTGACTGGTCCTGCCTTGTCCTGGCCGGCAGGTGCAGGCGGGTTTGTCTACTCGCTCTGCCCCCGCGTAGCGTAGACAAACCCGCTAGCACCTGTATCTCTCTGAATCAGCCGGTACCTTCTCGAAGTACTCGGACTGGCTCCGCTTGACGAGGACTCGCGCTGCGGTGCGTAGGGACATCCCAAAGCGCAGCTTAGCGGCGGCGCCTTCTGTAAGGAGTCGGAAACGACGTCTCATTAGGTCGGGGTGCTGCCGGCCGCGTACAGGTGGGCGTGGGGTGGACTCCTACTAGTAGCGGCGCTGTCGGAGAAGGCGGTGACCCTCTCGAGGATGGACTTCCACTCGTCCGGGGCCATGGCGTGCAGGGCGGGGCAGAAGACGGCGGGCGGCGCGCTGTCGGCGCCGTCACCCCCGGGCGGAGCGGGCGTGGGGCACTTGATGCGGTGCGCCGCGCGCAGCGCCGCCCCAAGCAGCTGCACGCCCACCGCGAGCGCGCCCACGGACGCGTCCTGGCTCGCCTGGTCCAGCCCGGCCTGCGGGAGAGAGAGGGAGCGCCTCGCGGTGAGCACGTTCGCGCGAGCACCAAGGACGGGCAGGTGGGCGCTGGACCGGGGACTCACCGCGCCGTCCGGCTCGCCGAGGGACTGCCACAGCGGGGAGTCCGAGAGGAGCGCGCGCTGAGTGCCGGGCACGAGGGCCGCCGGGCTGAAACACGGAGAGTCTATGAGCACTTCGCGCGCCGGCCGCGACCCTCTCGACGGCGGCCTATCGGCGGCGGCCTCGGCGGCGGCCTCGGCGGTGGCCTCGGCGGGACCCACCTGACCTCCTGCAGCAGCGTGATGGCCACGCCCTTGAGGGCGCCCAGGTCCTGCAGCGCGCCGGCCTCGGCCCTGCGCACGGCCAGCAGCACGTGCACCTCGCCGCCGGGGCCGGTGCGCGGCAGCGGCGCCAGCCGGGACAGCAGCTGCGCGCCGCGCTCCGCCGACTCGGCGATCAGCACCACGCCGCCGCTGCTGTCTGAGGAGAGTGGGAGAAGAAAGAGATGACGATCATGCGGCACGCTTCTGATGGAGAAACGCAAACGCGCGCGCGCCGCCGACTCCGGCGACGGCTGCCAACGACGCGATCGGCATGACATAATTTCAGATCGCGTCGCGCGCAAACGTCGTCGTCGGCAACGGCGTCTGCTCTGCGTACGCAAACGGGCTCATTAAAGAAGCGCTAAACGCAGAGCGCAGAGATGTGGAACCGGGGGGGTAAATTAATCGCGTCCTTCACGCGCCGCTTCCTGCACGCCTGCGTGCGACCCCCGCGGCGAGCCGTCAGCAGGAGCAGGCCCCCGGAGAAATGTGCAGGTGCTGCTGCTGGCTGCTGCGCCGTCGCCTGGCTGCCCGCGACGTCGTGGCGTAGCACGCGTCTCTCTGAGCCGAGCCTGCCTCAACCCTTGTTGACAGATCCCCTCTCGCCTCGACGACGGCGGGACCAGAATTACCATCGTCTCAGAGTGAAGGAAAACTAATCGCAAACAACCCTTTTCGTGTGACCCCCTTATATTTCAGGTGTTGCGCGTTGGTAAAAATGTGCTAACCTCTTTTAGACGTGACAAACAAACTGTTCCAGAGGAAGGAAAGGGGCGTGGAAGAAGCAGTAATTATCCTTCACCCTCTACAGAGGGAAATGAAGATTTCAACTCAACTAACACAAAAATACAACGGTGCCTCACAAACAATGTTTATGAGAGCTTTCTAATGTACCCGACCGCATCTCGATGGGGGGGGG